CAATCCATGAAAATCTCTGCCTTATTTTCCTCACAGGTCTTGATGTTTATCAGACACTGGTTGTCTGTGAGCTGCTGGAACTTGACAAGCCTGGAAAGATGATTATCAAAGATGCTGCTGGTGGCTACACCACAGATGAGCTGTGTTACTTTAACAACATATTTACTTACACTGTAAATGTGACTGTAAATATTACACAAGAAGTGCTCAAACCTCACCTGGAAGAATTTAAGCAGGAATTTGCAAAGTTCTTTTACCCAGTTTGCATAACAACTCTCAGGAATTACCTCAAAAAGAGAGGAGGTCAAGTGAATAGAAGGAGTAAGTCCTCAAGGACACGTGTACATTTGTATTATGAATCTGACATTCCAGATGTTTAAAAACAATCTTCAGGCTCATAAATAAACTTAAATTTGACACATTGTTATATTACTCCTTGTTTGTTGTCTCTGGATCTTTATGTTGTGGTGTTTCCTGTGCCTTTTGTAGTCAGTTTCTAGTTTTTTTTTTTTTTAGTTTGTTTTTCGATTAATCAGCCCATCTTTGTTTTCTCTTGTACTTTTCAGTTGTTCTTGTAACTTTTGTTCTGGTTTTGTTCTGTGGTCCTGATTCTGCCCATGCTCTTGGTTTTGGTTTGTTTATGTTGTATGTCCTTCTTGGTTCCCTGTTCCCCACCCTTTTATTTTACCTTTTTATTTGAATGAAAACCTAGTACTATTGAGTCACTGCCCTCTGTTTACCTGTCTGTTTCGTGGCTGCCCTGGTGTTACACCCATGCATTTATAGATGTGAAAAGTTCTTTGAAATTACCTTTTTTGTTGTTACAGTAACACCCAATATCAAGCTCACCCAGAAAGCAAACTCAGATTCTGGAGGGATTCGTGTGAGTTGTTTGGCAACAGGATTTTACCCTCGTCACATCAACCTGACCCTGTTCAGAGATGGGCAGCCTGTAGCTGATCATGAGATCACTGGAGGAGATCTGCTGCCCAATGCTGACGGGACGTACCAGATGAGGAAGAGTCTGGAGATCAGTGCTGCAGACAAACACAACTTCACCTGCTCTGTCACACTCCTCAGTCTGGACAACAAACTGGACGTCACTTTGGGTAATGAGCTCTTACAGAAAACACAATCTTAACAGTAAAAACAAAAACATTTAAAGTCACTCTCTCAGTCTGTGGTTGGTGTTCAGAGTTTGATCACAGGGAACCATTTAAATCAGTGATTAATTCAGTTCTGATGTTGGTAATTGGTAATAATTTGCAGTTGCGGTAATTAGATGTGAAGACATTAAAAATGTCATTCATTATGTGAACTTTTTTTAGAATTCGATTTCAGTGAACCATTTAAAACAGCGATTCTCTCAGTGCTGATAGTTTTGGCTCTAGTGTTGGTGTTTGGGACTGGAGTCATCAGATATAAATGGAGGAAGAGACGAGCAGGTAGGACAAAAACTGAAATGAATGATAACTACTAGTTTTGTTTAGAAAATACTTGATTTTTATGAATAACATTCTTTTGATTTTGTAGATTCACCCAGAAGTGGTTATTCTGCTGCTTCTAGTAAGTACATTATTTAAACCTATTTTTTTTTATGAATTAGTTGAATCAATGAAGTTGATGAATTAAATGATTTTATTATCTTTTTGCATATTCAGATCATTCATAAAATTTTTTTTTTCAGCATGTAAAGAACATGTCGAAACGAACATAATCAAATTAAATATCATGACTTGATGCTACATGGATCAACATCTTCAAACAATGAAAAAATGAGTTTCGACAGTTGTTTGGCTTTATTATGAAATAACAACATATTCTGTTACACCAAATACACAAAATAATGATCTTTAAAATAGCATCATATGACCCCTTTAAACTTATCAGTGATTTACTGATGAACTGTGAGCCATTTAACTCTTAGATGTTTTGCTATTGAATAGCAAATTATCAGTTGTATATTATAAAGAACAGGAATAAAAAGAAAAGCTGATGTTTATTTTTTTTTTACAATGATATCTTTCAAGACATTTTAACATTTTGTTATTTTGGCTACTTTAGAGCATTAAAGATGAGTGTTTCAACTTTACTATTGTACTGTTTCAACTGTACCCGACATGGGTACAATTGGAACAAAAGTACTTATTGTCATTAAAAACGAACTGTGGAAAATACTATGTATTGGTATCATTGATCAGTATTTATTTAGCAGGCAATTAAAAGAAATTTCACATGAAAAAATTACAAGTTTTTAAGTGTTAGTTTTTTTGTGGTACTACTGACTAAAAACTTCCAGCTTTATTTGATAGTTACAATAAAATTCACATAATGAGCTGTAACTTGTCTTTAAAGGGGTCCTATTATGCTTTTTCACTTTTTAAATTTTAGTCAGTGTGTAGTGTGTATGTTTGGGCATTAAAAAGATCTAGAAAGAGCATGTTCTAGTACACCCCCAAAACAAAATCAAGACTTTGTAAAAGAGCATAATAGGACCCCTTTAAGATTAAACATTAAATTGCAAGCATCTGAAGAAAATGTGGAAACATTGTGTGAATGTCATGTCACAAAACAACATGATTGGAGAAATAGGCTATCTTTAAACGACAAACAGTTATTCTTCTGACAAACAGCCTAAAGGGTTTTCTTTTTCCAAGAGAAAAGTCTCAGGTTACTTATGTAACCATGGGCGCCTATTTATACTATAGTCGCACCGGTAGTGACGTCATGGCTGTCGCCGGCCAATGAGTTGGTGTTTTTTCAATGTATGCTTCAGACACGGGTCACGACGAGGCGTTCCCCATAGCGACCCCTAGAGGACGCAGTTCGAAGTTCCCATGAAAGGGAACTACACTTTTTTTTTTCTTTCTACTTTTGCTCAGGTCCTCCAAAAGGTAGAATTTCAAAAGAATTCTATAAAATCAATTTTTGCAAAGTTAAATTTGTTAGGTCTTAAAATTTGCTTAGCTATATCTTCTCAACCAAATTCTCTCCTTCTACAAGTTTTAAGTGTAATTTGCATGCTGAATTGTTGATCAATAGCTAAATAGAACAACAGTGTGCTTTCAGCTGCTAAAATATAATTGTAAGCCTGAAAAGCAAATCTATACAAACCAAAATGTAAATCAAAACAAAACAAAATGATGTGTAGATTTTTATAAGTTAAGAGTCTTTAACTGTCTTTTCAGTGTTGACTGTTTAAAGCACGTGCTGTTTGTTTTTGTTTTTTCCTTTGAAATTTGTCAATTATTCAGTAATTAAAAATACATCTTATGAAATGTTATGATTATGTTTTCAAATATGAAACTAAAACCTCCAGTAAGTGGTGGCAAAGCTATCTTAATGAATGACTCATGGAATAATTTAATTCGTTCAAAAGGACTGATTCATTCAGGAATGAAGCGATTTTATGAATGTAGGCTAATTGAATCATTCGCTCAGCCGATTCCTTCAAAAAGCGGATTCATTCAGAGAACAAACAGCACTGTGTTGCTCACAGACACGCAACTCTTCTGCTGTGGATTTATTACGAAGTTTATTCGCATTAAGTGCAAATAGGAATATATACTATTTACATTAAGTGATATTTACACTAATAGATCTAGTTACACTAAGTGCAAATAAGATTCTATTTAACATAGATTCTATTTAACCTACACTATGCAAAAACAGTAGTATTTTCTTTGCATTAAGTGTAATAGTAATTAGATGCTATTTATGCTTAGTGCAAATAGTTGCAGATATATTTGCACCTCAGTACTAGTAGGCCTACATTATAAAACAGTATGCAATAACATATTGAGTGTAAATTATCATGTTTATTAAAATTATTAAATGGATGCCGCCTTCCACTTTTCGAATATTTCCTTCATTTTTATTGAAAACAAACGCCTTTCAGATCTGATATGATGGGGAAAAGGGAGAAAAACGGGAAATGTACGAGCTCGGCAAAAGGCGGATTCGAAATTTCGTTGATCGCATCAGATCTATTACTATGTCTTACTATCTACACCATGCTGTTATTTGATAGGCGTCTTTTGTAATGATGTTTATCCCAACTAGATATTGGTGGGTGAAGTTACTGTAAATAGCCTCTGCCAACAATGGCAGATTTTTATTAGTAAATTTAGTGTGTCTGGCTTCCGGTGTCGTCCACTTCCAGTTATTTTTAACTGTACAAAACGTTTTGCTGCTTGATATTGCAAACTGTTGTATCTTACCATATTATTTTATTTAATATCTTAATTATGAACTGAATTATGAACAACGGTTTTACCGTTTACTGCACTTTGCTATTCTTCTCATTATTTCCCTTCAGATAGTTGCCTCATTGGCAAAAAAATTCCAAACATTGTACATTATTATTAAATGAAATTAATGACATTAAAATTCTAAGTAATCACTTTGGTAATCTAAAATACATAAATACGTAAATGTAACTATAACGAATTTACTCATATTTTGTATGTTAAATAGCCTACATAACAACATTACATGTATTTCGTTACTCCCCAACCCTGTGCATTTGCTTATAGCTAACTATGTTTCAGCTAAATACTTGCCTCTTGTGTAACAAATTCATGCGGTTCACTCAAGCTAATGTATATATTTAGAAGAAGATTAAAGTCATTATTACACGGTGACACTGTCTGGAATATTTAATTCTGAACTGAAAGTTTAAGTCTGAAACCGGTGTTCTGTCGATTTGTGCTACCCTGTCAGATTTTGCTACCTCCCATTAAAACAGTGGGTAGTACAAAATGCTACCTGGTTATTAACATCTACACCTACCCCAACCCTAAACCTACCCTTACAGTAATGCAAATACAGTAATTGTGTTATATTTGTGGCTGTGGCTAGAAGGGATACAGCTACAGGAAACCAACAATAAATAATTTTAGTTTATAATTAAATAATAAGTTTTATTAAAGTCTACACCTACCCCAACCATAAACCTATCCTTACAGTAATGCAGATACATTAAATATTGTTATTCAGCGTGAGAAAAAGGACACCATATTGATGTGCGCATGCGCAGTACCCTGGTAGGACAATCTGACGGGTAGGATAAAATGTCAGGACACCAGCACTACATTCATGTCTCTCCTATCATACCATCTTTTTTTCATACAAATGCAACTGGCACCATCTTGTGTATCAGTTATCATGTGTTGTAAAATGATCTCAGAGGTCTTCAGTGTTTTCTTACATATAGGTTAGCCAGCACAGTTATTATTTAGCTTAGAAATCGTCTTGTTGAGGATGTTCGTTTTTTGGGTGGATTGTTCAAAAATGAAAGTGAAAGTCACAAACTCATGTAGGGTTACTTTTGAAAACAAATCAAAGTTGTTATTAATTTACACTAGAGTCCATAAAAAATAATAGCTACATATGGAACTCTAGATGTTTTTTTTTTTAACCCCAAGTTTAAACATTATCCTTTGAAGGCAGAGAGAAGTAATTTCCTGGATTTAGCAGCATCACATTAATGTTGGATGATGGCAGTAGGACACTGTAATTAGAGACAAAGAGATACATTTCTAGAGATAATACTACAAATGAAGATGAGATTGTTTCTTACATCTGTTATGCAATGAGGCATGATTTTCAGCCTTTACATGTGGGAAGATTATAGTCATGTGGAAAAAAAATATACAGAAAGTATGTTCAGTTGGTTAAAATATGGCATGTTGAGATTGACAGAACATGGTCATGTTATGGGGCCATGACACAGGTTATGTTTTTTTCCTGATCTGACAAGTCATCAACTTTATCAGGCGAAGAGTCACTGTGAGCTGTGGGACAATGATGAGCCTGGTCAAATGATCTACAAGTTTCTTTTTAGCAGCTCCACTGCAGATGAAATGCATTTGAATGACAAGTTTATATATGAGAGCCCAAAATAAATGGCAACTCTATCTCTTGAGCTGTTCAAGTGGTGTCATGAGACAATAAACATTCTGCATAGCAACTTTCAGGAATTACCTTAAAAAGAGACCAACTCAAGTGAATAAGAAGGGTTTTTCTCCAGCATGTTCTCCCCCAAAATTTACATTTGAGCCACTGAGCTCATATAGGTAAGATAGATATTTTTATTCCCAGTGAAAAGCTCATCTAGAAAGCCACCTCAAGACTCCTCAGACCTGGTTCTGGTGTTGGTGTTTTGGGGCTGCTGTTATTATATGGAGAAAGTGGCATGTGGGTAAGACCAGAGCTGAAATTAATTAAAATGGTCTAATGAAAAAATCGAAAGTTATTTTTGTCTCATCGTCTCTTCAAAATCTAAAATTTGACATTTGCAGATTTATTGTTTATCTTCACATAGTTTAGTTTAGCTTTTGTTTTGCTGACTTACAAATCATTAACTGCAATTTGAAATTATTCGAACTTATAAAAACTTTTTTTTTTTTTTTTTTTTACTTATGGACTTTTAGTTTGCATTCTCCCTCCTCTCTTGTTTTCTTCCTGTTAATCTGTTCCCTTGGTTACTCATGATTTTCACCCATTTCTTGTTTAGATCCTCATTTAATTTGTGTATTTATAGTCCTCAGTTTCAGCTGTTATTTCTGTTCTTGTGTGTATGGTGTGGTTTTTAGTCCTGATCGTGTTTCATAGTACTCTTTTATGACTTATTTTGGTTTTGTTAAATAAATGCTTTTAGATCTTTGCCTTAACTCTCTTCCAACAACATTTACTTACTTAGGAATTAAATATTTCAGCTATACCTATTACACGGGGAAATAAAACAACAAAGTATTTTAGGTCATAGATGTGCACAAACCTGATTTTCCAGTTAGGTGAACATAATGTGTG